GTCCAAGACAGGTATTTTGCGCGCAACTTGGTAGACAGGCCTTTGCCAATTCGCGAGGGAGGGGTTGGCTATGACCTAGCAGACCGCAGACGTATCACTGCAACAGAGTGCGAGTCAACAAAAGATGTGCGTGTAAGGCAGGTCTCGTGTCCGGGTCGGTCTGGCAAGGCCATCAGATCAAGGCACAGAACAGCCTCAAGAGACTTCCTGGAGAGGTGGTGGGTGAGTGAGTGCGAGCAGGCCTGCGGCAGGTTGGTCGACCATGGACGAAACAAGGCTCTAGCGTGAAATTTGGAGGTCGACAAGAAACAGTAGCGCGGTTATGCGGCATGCGGTTGGTTGTGAGTGGGTTGGGAGTACCGCAAGTAGCATAGCATGTGGTGTCTTGTGTCTTGTAAGTGCATGTGTAACCGTGTGAGAGGACGAGTCTGCGAGGTCGAGGTCGAGCTAGCAAGAGTCGAATAGATCAAATTGTGAGCTGTGTTCCCCTCCAGCGCCTCCGCCTAGGTTGAGCTTAGCTGGGCAGCGTCCACGTCGTGCTGTTGTGCTGTGCGAGCCGGGGAAGGAATCAAGGACAAGCCGACGCAAAGTGCGTCACTGCATTCATGGAGAAAGCTGAGCAGAGTTCGGGCAAGGGGTCTGAGGGTTCGCAGGTGAACCGGAGCAGAATCCAGACGCGGATCCGAGCGAGGCTTCTCGGAATAGACTCGAAGTCATCGCATGGTTCGAGTTCGTTTTCTCGTTTGCCCACGTGAAGTAGTAGGTAGAGTCCAACCCTCGTCTTTCTTGAGAACGGACTTCAGAGGGCTCGGCAGGCCCGGATGATCCGCATTATCGGTCGGTCGTCTTCCGCAGCCGGTGACAAAAGAAATAAATAAAAAATCGTTAGCTGATATCCAGATGCCTTTCGGGACTAGATAGAACCAAACACACACAATGGAGCGACGATGGGAGGATGGGGGGGGAATACGGCAGAGTACGGAGCAAAATGCTGACTGATGACTGATGACCGAGGAATCATGAGCGAAAAGGCAAAGAAGCACATGGGGATTGGAAAGGTCGACTGGGAAGGTGTGGGGAAGTCAGCATCCACAGTCCACCTGGCTGCAGCCAATGCTATGGATTCAAGATCGAAGATCGACGCCGCTGAGGTCATCAGCAGCTGGGGAGTGGGGCCGCGTGAGTCGCGGATTCGTAACCTCCTGCACTTTTGAGGAAGGTACGTGGGTACCTATGCACCTGCAGCACTGTAGATGCAGGCAGTTGTACGGTATCTTGCTCCTGCCCCGCGAGAGTGCCGGCCAGCCGCAACGGGTTGCATCAAGAAAGAGGCAGGAAGCAATCAGCCACATCTTCAAGTTTCAACAGGAAAAAAAGCAGCAACACCTACCTCGTACCTACCTTCGTAAAGCAGGTAAAAGGCACGGCAACACATTTCCGTTCCGCATCGTCACTGCCTTTTCAGGTTCACTGCAGTCCGAGGTACCTACCTTACTTCAGTACCTTCACAATGTACGGAGTACTGCGTAGGTAGGTGAGGAAGGCATATTCGACGCCCCTGCCACGCAGCCACAAGCATTTTGGCACTTCCGCATCCGTGACGCCTGCTGCATTGGACTCCGCGGAAAGCTCGCCGTACCTAATGTGACGCTGCTGCTGTCATCTGCCATTCATTGTCATCCGGGATGATAACGCACCATCAGATTTCTCACTTCTCCCTAATTGGCAACGACGCATTGTCAATGTCAACCCACGTCCAATTGCGGCGGTCAAGCTCGAGTCGTCCCATATTGCCATCTGGCGGGCGTAAAGGGCCACTGGGTACGGAGTGTACGGTTACGCAAAAACAACAAACAAATCCAGCTGGCATTATTGCCATGGATCATCAACTATCAATCAAGGCACACGCAGAGTCGTATCCGAATCTTGGGACTAACGAACTACCCGAGCTAGCTCACCGCAAATCTTCACGACAACAACAGCGAATCCCATCATCCATAGCCTCACCTCCCGTCAGTGTCACCCAGCACAGGGCGAACTAGTAGAATGGATGCCTCCGCGAAGCAACTCGCCACAGCTTAGGTACCAACTCACCTGTCCAATCTGTCAAGCCTCATCAAAAAGACTGGAGCATGAGATAAGTATTGCGATGGGGTCCAGTCCTTGGACGGAACTGAGACCAACATCAAGATATCGTGGTAGCGTGGATACTCACTACTGTGCATCATAGATCCACAAAGTCCCTGGTTTTTTTTTTCCTTCCATCATGAGCCATCAAAGTTTTGCAGACCCCACGTCGTTCTTCAGTAGTTCACTCTACGGATACTTCCTCCTCCTCCTTCGCGGGGTGTCTTGGATGTAGGCGCGCCGATCATGGCTTTTCAAACCCCGGCATGCCAATAACCAACTTCAGCGGAGCCCAATGAGCAGCCTCATCAACCATCCCGCCACATCCACACTGCTGGTACAGACACACAGAGTACGGAGCACCGGTATAGACTACGAATAGTTCTGAGCATCTCCACTCCACAGATCATCTTTTCTCTCCGGTTCTGCCTCCGACTGGGGGCATTGGGACTCACCGCCCAACGACCCCTCATCGCTCAAGTTCGAGACTCAATTCTGTATCCTCGCCGGCTTCCCCAAAACGGCAACGCCAAAGGCCACTTCCACTGCGCTCGCCTCATTCGTGTCATCCGTTGCCCGTTTCTGTCAGATCTACGCCATGGAATCGACCTCTGTCAGCAAAAGATTCCATTTCTTCGAGATTGCCCCTTGGCAATGATTCCGCCTCAATCATTGGGACCTTGCGCTAGGAACCTGACTAACTGAACTACTTTTCCCCTACGCTGCTACAAAGTGGAGGAGGACAACGGTTTGGGCAGCCCTGGTGATGGTATGCGTCGGGCATTACCGATCATCGCAGTAGCGCCATTTCCAACTATGAAGCTCAGGAGCGATGGAGCTGGCCTCAACACTACGACACTGCCTACGTGCTACCTTACGTGCTACCCTGACTGCGTACGCTACGCTTCACGCTATCGTGACAGTTCTGCACCACCGAGCCAGAGCCGCAAATGACGAAGTAAATCCGCCACGGTCGCTGTCCGGGCCGTGTAAGGCGCTTAGTGGGCTGTTTGCAGAGGTCTAGACCCGTGCCCCCGGAGCTCCGGCATGACCGGTGTGCCCGCCTGGTATTCGCACTTTGAGGCTTCTGAACTCCATCATGTCATGTCGGAAGCTCGTTTGACGCGGTACGCTGCGACCAGGCTACGGTCCTGAGCACCTTGAATAGAGACGAGCAGCAAATCCGCTATCGCGTTCGGCATGATATTGACAAGTCATCACCTCCAGTGGAATGCCCTTCTAGGCAATTGCCGTCAAATTGTAATTGCTCCACGTTCAAACAAGATGCATTAGATCGGCAGAGGCCTCAAAGCCCCAAAGCCTTTGCTTCGCTTTACCTTGCTCGCTTGGACCCTGGAGTGCACCCAGCCCACGAACTACCCCTGAGTCGAGCAGGGCGTCTGCCAAGTTTGTCATGTCTTTCCTCTCGAAAGTGCAGACTTGCAGATGCATGCACTTTTGGTGCCTGAATCACCGATGTTGCGAATTCTGCGCCTCAATCTACCACCGGCGTCGGGCCGCAGTTGTGCTCCCTCGGCCCAATGCACGCAGCAAAATGCTGTCTCGCTTCGGCTCCGCCCTGGTTTCGGCAACTCTCGCCCGAGGATCAGTACTTCATAGAAACACCATGGAGCGACGATCATGCCCAGGTTTGGGAGCATCGCGGGCTTCTTTTGATATTTCAAAAGTTGAGGTTATTACGGGTAGGATCAGAGCTAACTGGACAAGACGGCGAAAGCAACTCATCCACTGCGTGAGATAGCAGCTTGATGGCGATCATTCCCGTACTTGCCCGCTGAATCCCTCAACCCATGATCTTTGGAGCGGTTTGCACTGATTGGCCTGGCCATTTGGTCGTAGGACCCAAGGAGGATTCAGCCGCCACGTTGTGGCCTTTCGTAGACAAGAGGGTGTCGTTGAGACGTCAGCTGACGCTCATGTATCCATGTTTGACATCAAGAAGGCTCGCGATGACCTCTGAACCCCCACCTTTCACCATCATATCCTCGCATGTCAGCCGACTCAGTTCATCAAGATATCGTGTGTAACAGCTGCCCCTTCATACCTCTGGGGTCTTCACAGCCCATCTAGCAAAGCCCTCTTACACCCAGAAGCCATTTGTCCTCTTGCCAGGCTGAAGTGCCTCCGATGCGCGGTCTGGCAGCCATGGTGAAATTAGGTCTACTCAATCTTATGGAGTGGCTCAACACCGATGAAGGAAACTTCCAGTACGCTGCGCTTCTATGGGGAGATTCTCTTTTTTCTTCTTGCTTCCCCTGTACGAGATATACTACCTTGACCAGCAGCTAACACTCGTCGGGGCTCTGAAGCACCAGGTTATTGTTTCTCATGGCGACAGTTGCCGTCGGCACCGTATCTATTGTGAAGGGCTTTGGGCTCCGGCAGGGGCGGGCTACTGGGCGGGACTCTGAATTGAGAGTCATGGTGCTGTGAGCATGAAGGATGTGTGGATGTGTTCGACTTTGGCGTTGTATGTTGGTGGCCAGGCTTCTTGGTATTGCGGCAGTGCGTGACGGATATGAAGTGTACAAATCCGGTGATACATAGGAGAGCGAGTAATCCCACACGAAGGGGGGGATTACAGATTAAGTTGTATGAATGTTTCTGAGTATAAAAATGGAACGAATCCTCGAAAAACACTCCTAGCTGGAATTAATGCTATCCTTGTCTTCGTCTCACACAATAGACATATCTTGTCCTCTTCACCGGAGCAATACTAACGTCGTAGTCGTGTCGAGTCTCTCGAATCTTGGCCCGGCAGCCTCGTCCGTCTCTATAGTCCCTCGTCCTCGTCGACATAAATGACAACCAAACTTTCCATCCTTGGCACCTCCTCACCGCCCATGAACACTCTAGACCTCCTCTTCTCTCCTCCTCCGGAACCCATCGAGGATCAACCTCGCCATCTGCCCATTCGTAATGGGAATCTCCCTCTCTCCAACCCTCTCCCTCCGAACCTCCTCCTCGGAAGCCCACACAAAATCGCAATGCTCCTCCGGATCGATCCTCACCCTCTCCTCCACCCCTTTCCCCCGATCATCATCACCCTTCACCGTAACCTCAAACGCAAACCGACAAAACACCCTCGTCCCAGTCCGATTCGTAAACACGCTCCCTGGCTCCCTCCCCTCCCCCTCGCTCACGACCCTCACGATCGCCACGGCCTCGAGCCCAGCCTCTTCCCACAGCTCGCGCGCGCACGCCGCGAACAGGCTCGTGTCCTCCGGGTCCGCTGCGCCGCCGGGCGTCTCCCAGCGTAGAGGCATGCTGTCGTGGGCGGCGCGCTGGAGGAGGAGGATTTTGTTGGTCGTGGGGGAGAAGACGAGGGCGCCTGTTGCGAGGCCGTCCCATGATTTGGAGTTTGTGGTGAGCCAGGTTGTCGCGGGGACGTTGTAGGGTTCTAAGGAGGGGGGGTAGGTGAGGTTGAAGTCGGGTGGTGGCGGTGGGCGTGGATGAGATTGGGTTTGTGGTGGAGGTTGAGCGGGTTCGGGGTTGGATGCCATGGCGATGATGGATGGTGTTCTTTGGGACTTTTGTTTGCGATAATGTCTTTGCTGAGGATTGAGGCCGAAAGGTTGGTGATGGTATAATGCTTTTGACTTGGTGCAGCCGAGATGAAGTCAAGTGAGGTTGTGCAATGTTGTGCGGATGCGGAACGGAGCTTGTTTTGTGGGGGATTTTTGGTGTTCTTTCTCCCGGAGCGGTCCCAGTTTTGCGGCTGACGATGGCCGCCTTGCGGGCTGACTTGAGGGCAGACTCGCCGCTGGTGCCTGGGACGTGAAACAAGACTCCCATGTCACGATTTACAATCATTTGATTCACTTGAGATTATCGAGGCTAGAGCAGGTGCTGGGTAGGCGTCAAAGGCGCGACTGCATTGAGTCAATGCTGGTGGTTGTTCCGCTTTCAGTGTCGTGATGCTGAAATTCTACCTCAACGGTCTTGGACGTCAGCCGGTTCAGCGCAGTCCAGTCTTGGTAGATTTTGGTATTGAGGTTCTCTTGTATAATTATATCGGATGTTTGGTACTTGAAGTACTACTTAAAGTTTATTGCTTCACGACTCCTTGCCTTGGGACAGCATCGATATGCAAGCGACCAACGAAAGTGCCTTCACGTAGACAGACATTCACGCCAGAGATCCATAGAAGGCATATTTTATATAGATCAAGACTGATACACCATAACGGTCGTGTTTTCAGCTGCGCCGTGCTTGAAATGTACATGTCGCTCCTCATTTTATATGTAAATCTGCTCATCACACCCTCCTCGACCTAAAATGCAGAAATAATTTCCTGCGCTTCCAATCACACCCTTAGGTGCTCATTCACTTATTCCAAACTCACTGTAAGCCTTGCGCTTATTCTACAATGGTGTCTTTGACTCCACCTCGCCTACCTGAATGTTTCCACGAGCCACGGGCTCATGAAAGGTCCCCAAGAAGGCGAGTTCCTCTTTCTGCTCAAACTTCAATTTAGATATATCTAGTCTTCTGACTTGATAAAGACGTGTCTTCACTGCCACTGTCCGCTAGTTACAATTCGACCGAAACCTCCTCCCCATCTCCGAGGTGGATCAGCCCCTTCTCTCCGAGGAACTTCAGCAGCACGAGGCAGCCTCACTTCCCCCGCCCTCTCCTGTCCAGGACACATAAGCACCGGAGTGGCCTCCTCAACAGCAGGTCCCGCAGCCGGATTATCACAACCTCCCCAAGCCGCAGCCACTCGATCGGCAGGTCTCTCCTCGCCGCACACAGCAGCAGGAGGATACACTCTCCCGACCTCACCACCACCACCACCCCCGCCGCCATCTGCCTCACGCGCAATAGGCTCCACCAACTCTCCCTCCATTGTCTCCTCCATATCCTCTAACTCCCCTCCCTCGCCCGGATGAAACTGATTTGGCCGCGGGCAACGTCGATGCCTCCCGCCACGACGCCTCTCCTTCCCCTTCCTTTCCATCCAGACATCGTCCCTCGAGGGTCGGCTCTCTAGGTCTAGTTCTAGATAACGTGCTACCCTGCCCATAATTCCGGCCGGCGTGTGGTTGGTCTTACCTTTTGGGTAAACTAGGCAATCTTCGCCGCAGGGGATGTCGTGAGGTGAGTTACGGGCTCGCCTGACTGTTCTTAGTCTGCCCCACGAGGAGCTTCCCTCGCGCTTTATGGGTTGTGGTTGTTGTGGGGGTTCGTCCATGTGAGATGATATCAGGAGAATTCTAGCGATGTGTTTGTATTACTCTCGGAGATTGGTTTGGGCGAGCTACCCCGGTCTCCAGGAAAGAAGAACCAGCTTTTATGGGGAAAATACGGTCAATAGATTCACTGCTCTGAGCTTGGCCTAATATCGCCAACCAAATGTTACACATTCACTTGAGGCTAGGTAGCGACTTCATTGGCGAGATATGGGAATCTGATTGCTGTATGCCAACCCTGCTTGCTATCCTCTAGCATCGCATGTCCATCTAGTAACCGCAATCGCCAAATCCTTTTTCCTTGTGATTCCATTCGAAGCCCTGAGTACCAAAACGATCCGAAACCAAACCCCTCAATGCCAACAGGAGACAAACTAGGCTGTCTATTAAAGGCGGGGGTGAAAAGAAAACCGCGCGTCCCGTTGAGAAACCAATGCACGACTGCCCACATGCTAGCCATGTGTATTAAAGTGCAGGTCTTGTGTAAGAAAAGAGAAGAAGAAGAAATGACGTGACCGATGAAGAAAGAACTCTCAATGCCGAAAGACGAAAGTCGAAGGCTGTACCACAAAATAGGAGAGTCGTTATGCCAACTTGACCGTTGCTGCTGAGTCGTGATCAGAGAGCCGTGATTGTAGGAAGGCCAAAACCAGTTAGAACCAAGACTCCAATGAAGTCTAGAATGCCCTTTGAAGTCTAGAGGCTTTCCAAAGCAATCAGAATCTTCAAGACGGCCAAAATGAACTGTCGTAAAGCTCAATGCACTAAGAAAGCTCTTTTGACTTGTCATGGCGCCTTGCTGCAAAGCATGCACAAGTGCGAGTGGCAATGATCATTGCGCTCATGGGAATTGTGGTTGCTCTTGCCTGCACAATCAGTTAGTAAAAGAAGTCAAGCATCAAAGACATTAGCGTCAGGGACTTACCTAATCGGAAGATATCGGAAAAAACTCAGCTCAGTCCTCACACTCAATCATCCGGTGTTCCAAGAACATTCGCTCCATGGTGCCGAAGAGGAGTGGGAGTCTGAGGAGTCTGAGGAGTCTGGAGATCCTCATGACCTTCGGGTTCGTCGTTGGTCATGGTAATGCCATCGCGGGGATCCTCGCGACCGCCAACGGCGTTGGTAGTGCCATTAAGGGTGGGGGTATCAGGATCGTAGAGGTTGTCGGAGAGACTGACAGTACCACCACTGGGAGGGGCAGGGCCACCGGTGGTAGGCGTATGAGGACTGTCGACATGGGGCATGCTATTCTCATACCACGGTTGACCAGGGGAGTCAATGATCAACCTGAAGATGTTGGTCTGACCGGGTATAAAGCCATTGGCGTGCGGATTGGCAATATTGTGATTGGGAATGTGGGGAGGGGGCTGATGCTGCACCAGTTGCTGAGGCTGCGGTGCAGGGGGCACGACTGTGGAAGTACCAGATCCGCCGTTCGGGGCAGCTTCATCTTCCTCGTTACCTTCAAGAGGGATAAACTCAATGCCACCACGAGAAGGGACCGGGGTGTGCCGAGGAACCAGATCATATGGCGAGGTCTGCTGCACCGCCTGCTCAGGGTGAAAGACCTGCAGAAACTGCTCCTCCTTCCAATTCTCGTAGACATGTTCGATAGTCTTCTGCACACGCTCCGAAAGAGAAGGCATGATGTCCGGGGCGTCGGCAACAATCTTGTTATATATGGCAGCAAGAGTGTCTGTGAGGATCTGAACACCCATCTTGGCGTCCTTCTCCTTGCCCTGGAGTTCCATGTGCTCACTATGAAGACCAAGAAGTGTCCTGATTGTATGACGAAGCTCAGCTCGAAGAAGGCGGTTCTTAATCCGAAGTCTGTCTCGATCCTGGTTCAAAGCCAGAGCCTGGCCTTGGATGTCTGCCATCTGCTGGAACAAGTTCTCAGTCTGGATAACTTGATGAGACCCCACATTCTGAAGTCGGAGAATTGCGGCTCGGAGCCTCTCATTCTCGTCAAAGGCAAGACCAGCGGTGCCAATAGCCTCCCTCAACTTCCAGTTCTCGGCCTTGGTTTTTGCACTGTCTGCTTTGAGCTTGGCATTCTCAGCCTTGAGCCGGGCATTCTCAGCCTGAGTAATCTGGAGCTGCTGCTCCATTTCTTCACAGCCGTCAGTGCCAAAGGGAGTGGTGGTGGTCTGGAGGAAGAAAGAAGTCAGAATCAAAGGGGTGAGAAGGGGGCTTTATATAGATATTGGAGAGCTCCCAGGCAGCGCAAGATCAGTAAAGCAGGATCAGTAACTCAAGATGAGATGAACTGAGGACGCGAGGAAGGAGCCATTGTGATTCTTTTCTCACGTCCAGTTACTGATTGGGGGACTAGAAGAAGGATATAAAAGGGAGGAGACTCACAGTGCTGGTGGTGGGCATAGCTTCACCACAATGGCCACTCTGGCCGCTGCTGTTAGCAGCACCAGCCGAAGCTGGGCCACTAACACCCCGGAGGCCACCCGGGGCGGCGATGGCAATGCCACCGCCAGCAGCGGCCGCAACCGCCGACGAGAACTTCGCCGGGATGGCATCCCGAGGGGCACCACCTACGGCCACCGGGGCATTACTGCGACTAGTGTCAGCAGCAAGAGGCTGTCCGGCGACCGCCGGCTGCCGGACTATCCGCATATTCACTCTAGCGTAATCTTGGGGCGCTGGGGGGTGGGCGGCGGCGCCGGGCACAAAGGTCGAGGCAGTGGCCTTATAAGGGATGGTGTAAGGCGAAGACATTGTGGATAGTAATGCTTGAAGAGTTAGAACTGAAGCTTTGATAGGCAGGGGAGAGTTGGTGATACCTTCGTTAGTGGGATTGGTTGTTTTGTATAGCTGGGATTGGAGACTGGAAAAGTTGGTTGGATGGGGAAGAGAAAAATTCGAAGAAGGGTGGGAGGAAGAAATTGTGGTAGAAGGGCGAGGAAGTGAGTGTGTCCTTCGTCCGTAATAGGTCAACCAAGGGCGGTCAGAATATTTCTAGTATTTCACGACTGACCCTGAGGAAGCAGCGACTCATTTATACGAAGATGGCTCTTTCCGCGTAGGCTTTCTCCGATATTTACAGAATCGCTGTCCCGGTGAGCAAAGTTCAACACCCTGAGAGCATTACAGATTCTGCGCTTGGCCAGCAAGTCAAACAGATGAATCGTTCGACTAGACAATTTCACATGATCTCAATGTTTGGAGTTGTATTCCGCCGTTGTTTGGTGCTACCAACACCAAAAGACGAAAAACTCCAGTCTCAAGGTCCGCCCCAGCCATTCATCGGTGTACGAAGCGGCTGACATCGTCAAGTCCAGAGGCAATTACCGGAATAGAGCACATAAAGACCGCATACATGCAGTGATAATCCGGAACCCTCATCATTCCGTAAACTCGGAGGACATCATCTGCAACATCGTGAGTCTGTTGTCGACAATTCGAGATCACGTGGGGCCGGAGCGACGTGAATTACGGCCCCACTACGGTAACCCAAGAACGGCGCTAAAATCTTAGCGGCGGGTGCTCCAGGGCCCAGGGGTAGGTAGGTAGGTACCTTCCACTCGGTACCTTACCTAAGGTAAGTTTCTCTTTAAAGCTCCTTCCAAAGCTCCCTTCGGACCCTCTCTGTCGGGCTTGTGGAAACAGGTTGAATGTTGACTGCGAGCCTTGTCATATTTCTCTCGCAAACTTGGTGTCGCCTCGATATAGCCGTAAACCACATCATCTGGACCAATCCAATGGGCCAGACATCGCAGCAGGACAGCCCTCTGTCCATTGCGGCCAATGTCGCTGGAATCCTCACCTTCGTCGTCGCTATTGTCGCAGCAGTGTACGTCAGAATCACATATCTGCGCAACAGCGACGATGAGTATTTCCGGGTCAAGGCCTCGCTGTCATGGTTCAAAACGGAATCCACATGGCTATCGGATCTTGTTCGTACAGCCGGTGAAAGATCAGGAGGTCACCATTCTCGCCAACCTGAATATCAGATGTACGCCTTCGTGATGGACGATTTGATTAAGCTGGAGAAACGCATCTTGGAACTGCTGGCCGAGGCCGAGACCAAGGCTGCGGGCCAAGACGCCGAGAATCAGGGTAAATGGACTCTCGTGCCCAAAAGTTGGAGCTTCACGACCAATGTCGCCATGGCCTGGCTGCCGGTCCGGACCAAAACGTTGGAGCTGGTCCGCCAGAGAGAAGCACAGACGGCAAGAGTGCAATTCACACAAATGAGCATGATATCTTCGTAAGATACCTTTTTTGCTGACGGTTTGTTGGTCGCTCTTGCTGATTACTTGTCGCAGTCGAATTCGAGACTTGGAATCGAGCACCACGTGGACGGAGGCCAAATCCGAAGAGAGCTTTATTCGTATGGAGAACCAGATTTCTGAGCAGAGAGCCCAGATCCATCGGCTGGAGGACCTTGTTTATCGTCTGATGCATAAGAGTCGGCTCAGCCACGGTCCAGATTCACCGTTGGCCGATCCCGTCAGGTCGCGCCGGTTATCCAGTCCCTCGCAACAGCTTCCAAGCGAGTTGACGAATCGAGGGCCCCGCCGACGAGCCAGTTCGCAGTCTACCAAGCGGTCGAGGTCCAAATAACGAGTCGTGAACCACCTATTTAATGGCGTACCCTCCTTGCAGCAAATAAGCACCTGCCACTGCCAGGCTAGCCACCGCCACGGGGAGGTCAAGTTCCAAGACCGACCAAATCCATACACACCCCAGAGTCGGCGCCTGCTTCATGATGTACAGATAACTGAACTTGTTGGTAATGTAAATCAGATGGCACCCAGCCCACACTCCAGCCACGAAGAAGATGGCCTGGCGAATGGGATGCTGATAACGAGCCGGCAGTCCCGGGATAAGGTTTGGGCTGGATGGGAAAGCATGAAGATTGTAGAAGAGAAAGAAGAGCACTACAGGCCACCGTCGACATCAGCAAAGGAGCAGAGTGGAGGGGACCGACTTGAAACTCACCCATCAACGCAATGAGCGTACGGCTGAAGACGTTGGGCCATTCGATCTCCTTGGCATACTGGTTCTGGACGAGTACGTCGAGAGTGCCGTGTACCATGGCGAGACTTACAGTCCAGAGCAGTGTGTCCATGATGCGATCCATCAAGGGAGACAACAAGGCCCCTTCGTCGTCTTCCTCATCTTCGTCACTGTCCTCGCCACCCGGCCTGTCGATTCGGACGGCACCCTTGGGCAAATTCTTATTTCGCGGGTCTTTGTCGGCCTGCTTGAAGAGACCTCGGTCCTGGGCCATCTGCAGCAAAGTAGCTTCGCTGGGAGCCGACCGATCAGGCTGGGCAAGGGGAATGCCTTTGGGATCCTTCACCCTCTTTTCCTTGGCCCCCTTTTTGGCCATATTTGACAGAGGTGGTGAGCGAACACTTGATGAACCGTTGTTTGAGACTTCCCCTCGCCGCCCTTTGCCAATCTGCTCAAGAAAGCCTCGACCTGCGGTGATACCACCACAACGATCCCTCTGTCTATCAGATGCAGCTTAAGGTAGGTGACAGCTGCAAGGTATGTTGTCGTCGGATGTCTTCGTCTAGTCGCGTGCTGAGCTGCTTTGGCTGACAAAGACACAGTTTACAGTTTGACAGTTCCTTGTCCCGCTGTCAGCTCACAGCTATCTGTACACAGTAGCTCACCAGCTGTCAGGGAAGTCCTCCGGGCCGCCTGGAAAAATAAAGAACGGGAGCTCCCTGGCCCCATGCTGCAGGCCATCGGTCCAGTGACCAACCGAACCCATGCCCTGTCGCATGACACACTGCTCCGAATGGCCAATTGCCAGGCGTCGCTCGCCCCTCAGGGCGGATTTAGTGTTGTCAGGACCCCGTTCCGCGAGGATCTGTCACCGCCTGCATTTTCGGGAAGGGAACGGGTGCGACCACACACCGACGGCGCAGATGGCGCGCCAGTTGCGACAGAATGACCAAAGTGGTGACGGGAGGCAGCGAGGCACCGAATCGTCCGGGCCCCAGCTCATCCAATTTCCCAGCCGATCGTCTCCCGCTATTTGCGACCACCCACACCACCATTGACAGCCACCACCACCACCCGTTGTCGCTAAGAAGCTCCTCCGAGATTAGACCAGGGTCTCCCAAAATCGCAAGGTGGCATCTCACGCTTCTGCTCTTTCCCGCGAGATGCTGCTTGTCTCGTGACCTGCATCTTGCATCCTGTGCTGCTTTGCGACTCTCTTAGGTTCCTCTGGGAACTCTTCCTCCTCGGCATACACCTTTTGCGACCTCTCCGAACCCGTCATCCTTCTGCGCGAGGCTGCGACTCGCCGACACACGCCACACCGCATCCTCGAAATACTCCTCCCGAAAACGACCCCACCTTGGGGAACTCGAAACCTCCTCACCGACGAAACGAGATCGCAAACCAGAGCTGCCCAGTGTTAGAATTCGCGACAATTGTAGTTGACAATGGGCTGGATAATGCTTCTCGGCGCCTTGCTGGTGGCTGTTGCGCCTGCGTTGTATATATACCTGGTCCCGCTGATCACGCCGAGACTCCCAACCCTGGAGAACAAACGCATCTGTCTCTTGATTGCACACCCGGATGATGAGGCCATGTTCTTTGCGCCAACGGTCTTGGCCCTCACCAAACCGGATACAGGCAATCACGTCAAGATTCTGTGTTTGAGTTCAGGTCAGCAAACTTCTTGGGGATACTGCGGCAGGGGCGAAAGGACGCCATGGCTGACAAGAGGGGCAACTGTATAGGCAACGCCGACGGCTTGGGCGAGACTCGTAAGAAGGAGCTGATTAAGAGCGGCATGAAGCTCGGTCTGCAGCAGGAGCACGACGTCTTCGTCATTGACAGTCCGTAAGTAATTCCCCCTCCAAACCCACTGCCCCTCAACTCCACTCCAGACCCTGGACGAGCTAATCTGACCGCCTCCCGGGACCTCCAGCGACTTTCAAGACTCCATGACCAACGTCTGGGACAAGACCAAGATCTCTGCCCTCCTCGGCCGCGCCTTCGCACCGCAGCTCGCCCGCCAGCGAGCTGCCGGCGAGGAACCCGACGCCAACATTGACGTCCTCATCACCTTTGACTCGACCGGCGTCTCTTCCCACCCGAACCACATCTCCCTATACCACGGCGCCCGCGCCTTCATCGCCGCCCTGTCCACTAATCCGCGCTGGCCCTCCCCCGTCGACCTTTACACCTTGACCTCAGTCCCCTTTGCGCGCAAGTACACCAACTTCCTTGACGCCATTCCCACGCTCTTTTCCTGGGCCACCACGGCCGGCAGCAATCCCCCGAAACCGCCCAAGAAGCCAAAGAAGGAGGACGACGACAGCGACGACGAAGAGGACGAGGAAGATGACAACTACCACCCTACGGCCCTCGTATTCCTCAGTGAGCTGGGCGCAAAGGGCGGTTGGGCCACAGCATGGAGCGCAATGACCACGGCGCACAAGAGCCAGATGGTCTGGTTCCGCTATGGATGGATCTCATTGAGCAGGTACATGGTCCTCAACGACTTGCGACTGGAAAAGGTCGAGGCCGAAGAGGAGACCAAGGCGTAAGTAAGCTACGCAAAAGTATGGGATTGATACCTTGGTCACGAGAGTGAGAAGAAGAAGAAGAGGAGGAGGAGGAGGAGGAGGAGAAGGGGGAGGAAAGAGAAGTTGATGGTAAAGCACGGATTGAAAAAGAGAAAAAGGCATATCCTACCTAGCATCTCATATTCCCCCATCCACCCCCTTTTCGTCATGAGCAGGCGTTTTTGCATGGACTCCACGTGTTTGGGGTAGATACCAACATATATCACCAAGGGGTACAAAATCATCAGCGTTGCAATTACAGAATGAATATAAAGGTACATCAGAGAATGGGAACAGAGTACATCTCCAATTATTCACCAGTACCTAATTGATAGAAAAATTGCAGTAGCATTACACCAGAACATCGGGACTACGTACGAATCTTTTCCATGGCATTGGCATTTTAATTAATTGGATTATTTACCAGAGTACCTCTGACTGACAGGGCCCTCCTCTCAACATGTCTAGCATATTCCTCTTGCCAAAATATGTTGCCTTCTGCCATCTACCACACCAAGGCCTTCAAGACTTCCTTTCGAAACAGGGGACCGGCCTGTGGTAACCGTTGCGAATTCAGAGCTTTGACTGTGCTAATCGCCTCTCCTTCATTCACAACCCCCTGTTTGGCCGCCCTGCCAAGCTCAAATCGTAGACGATTCTCTTGCTCTCCAAATCTGACCTCCCTTCGTTGGCGGACCATTCTCCGGGTTGATCGGCTGAGAGTAATCGTCATGCTCTCATAGACCGGGTCGCCCGCCTCGGTGACAATGGGTACGGCCTCCGCATCCTCCCCAGCGTCATCTGATTTAGAAACCTTTGGCCGGCTTGGATCGGGAGCAAGTCTCCGGGTTGGCTCGGAGCGAACAATCCGTTTCACCCATTTGGTTTTGGGGGCGGCGATGTCTTGGTTCAGGATCCTGACGGTCCCTCCATACGTCGAGTACGTTATTGGATCAGGGAGAAAACGGCGAAAATCGTTGACAAAGTCAGGAATAATCTGGCAGCCCAGCGCGGGCTCGCGACGTAAGCGTGCGCTGGCCTCTCGCAACCATTGCTGGCACGAGCGTTGGATGGAGTACCATGACATATGTTGCTGTGCTTTTAGTCGGCGGTGGCGAGAAATCGAAGCTGGCGGTGGCGATGGGAAAAGCGTCTCAAATAGAGCTGCCTCGACATCCTTGCATAGTGAGTCGTACTCGGCGCAAGTACGTCTGATGGAGTCCCAAGCCTCATCCAGCTTACCAGAAGCAATCAGCGACCTAGTGTAAAGGTCAAGGTCACGGAAGCCGGGCTTTCCAAGGTGGGGATTGGCCGTCATGGCGTCCCAAACAGCCAACACGTCGTTGGACCGAACGATTCTGTTCTTGTCGCCAATAGTCTTGTACTCTTGGGTGACTGGTCTAGAAGATATCAAGTAGGTCCACTCCAGGAGCGATGACCAGGTACTTGGCGGTATGGGGATGCCCCATTCTGCAGAGATATGCTCAATCAGCTTTTTGCCTAGAATGACATGACCAGTGCAACCGAAAGCCTGCACGATGGCGTTGATCAAAGGCTGTGTTGGCGTCGGTGTCCGTCTGATACTGTCCGCCCTGTTGGCACTGACGATTGTTGCTGCTCGATGATCTCTGTCCGTGATGAGGATGCCCCAGACTTTGTAGAGAATCCGAGTCATCTCCCTGACTGAGCCAGCGCGTGCGCAGGCTACTAGGTACGCGCAGTAGAATTCTTCGTCCACCACTTTGTGCTTTTTGCGGATGAATGCATTCAGTCGTCCGACAGGGGCGGACAAGCTGAGAAGGCGATATAAGTCGTGAGTCGGTTCCCAACTAGCACGGCCATAGGTGAACCTCCTATTGGCAACAAGGCTAAGTCTCAGTCTCTCGAGGGGCCACAAGATCCGGGTGTCTTTCAAGTTCTTCCTACGGCCATGTAAATCACGGGGTCGCACTCGCAGCCTGGCATTATCGTTGTGCGAATAGGCTGGGTCTGTGAGAAATCGAGTCTTGAAGTATTCGGTGTAGTCCTGGCCATTCCTATGGTGGCCATCTTCCTCCCCCTTGGTCACATCCCAAATTTCCTTTGCAGCCTGGACATCGGATGCAGCACCGGCGCATCTGAGGAGAACGACGTAGTCGAGTCGAGAAGGCTCGTTGCCATGGTAGGATCGTAGACCGAATAGCGTACGCAATGACTGGAAGATGCTTTTGTAGATTTTGGGAACACCAAACCGATCGGCGACTGAAGCAAGAGAGCTGTACTGGCCTAGTGCATTCTCGATTCGCAGACCGTAAGTCGCATTACTGCGAGGCCCAACGCGAGAGGGGTCCAGGGAGCGCACGATTTCCGAAAATGTAGTCGGTGACAGCCTTTGCAACGCGTCTGCCACCTCAATGGCCCGCGGGTGGCGTGCTAGGCCTTTCACACTCTTCACTATTTGAATTGTATCCTGAGATTGAACCGCGCGTAGCAGGTCTGCGAGATGTGCCTCGGCAGATTGATGATCATCTGAGCGCGACTCGATCGCAGGAGCCGAGGTGTTGGAGCTGAGCTTGTGCAACTGGGAGATGCATCTCGTCGATAAATCCAGCCCGTTTCGTGGAATCACGATTCTCGCGGGAGTTGTTATGGGAAAGGGGGCGTGATGCCCGTAGCATCTTCGTAGTCGAGCAACCAAGATTTTCGAGCGGGTGCCACGAGGGGGAGACTGGCACCGTAGCAGTTGTCGAAGGCCATTGGCCTCTATAGCTGGTATCATGATGGAAGGCTGCGAGGTCTGTATCGAATCATCTCTTGTGTTTCGAAGCCAATGGCACGACCAAGTGGAAGTTGTGTTTCTTCAAAGATGTGGCTCGACGGCAGTTTTGCTCGCGTGAGGGGAGGTTGCCGAGTAAAAAGGACAAACAAAACACAAAGCTGTCCCCTCACTGCGAAGGGGGACGTACCGTACCACATCGGCAAGCAATGGAGGAAGGCACAGCTCTCCCAAGCACAGCTTACGCAGGTCGGTCGGTCGAGGCGTTTTCCCCGACAGCTTCCCCAACTTTACTTCACCCGCAGCCGCCGCCGCTGCCGCCGTCGCCGTTGCTTGCCGCCTTCTCCTCCTCCATCCTCCTCCTTGTCTTCTGGCTTACCATTGCCTGTTTGTCCGCTCAAAGTTACAACAGAAGTGCTGCAAGTGCCTGCTTTAGTGCCTTGCTCCCTTCCCCTCTAACCGTGCCATCCCGGACAAGGGACGGGAAGCTCCACGCAGACCTGGGGCAAGACCCATTCATGGCCCACCTTCCGGTGTGCCGTGGCACGGTTCGATCTCATTGTGGGCTGAGCAGCCGGATTATTTCCTCTGCCGGTTCCGTGAAGTCTTGACCAATGACGTGCAGCTGAGCTTTGCGCGCGCAAAATGCACAATTCCTCCTGTGCCTGGCCCCACCCATCGCCTCTCGGCCATCCCAGCTGGATCGCTGTGTCTTCATACCAAGGAACCGCACCGATCCATCTCATCACAGTGCCCCCTGCTCCCTTCTCATCGACCCAACTTCGACTTTTCAAATCATCATGGCGGACGCCGGCGAAGACACCACACACGTTCAGGAGCCTCTTGACCTCGTCAAGCTCCTGCTCGACGAAGTAGTTTTCGTCAAGCTTAGAGGTGACCGTGAGCTCAAGGGCAGACTTCATGTGAGTTGAGATATGTGTCTAGGGCGTTGATGAGCTGTGCTAATACGTATCACAGGCCTACGACAGTCATTGCAACCTTGTTCTGGGAGAGGTCGAGGAAACCATTTATGTGGTGGATGATGATGAAGAAGATGAGGAAGTGAAGGTGAGAAGGCTGGATGAGCTCAAGGTCTCACCAAATGCTGACAGCATACCGTAGACCATCAGCAGAAAGTCGGAAATGCTCTTTGTTCGTGGTAAGTTTTAGCCTATAGTAGGAAGCGGCCAAAAGTCTAACAGATTCGCAGGTGACAGCGTGGTTCTCATCTCGCCTCAAACGTCCTCATAGCCGTTGGGGGATCACGCATCCACCATCGCCGCGAAGGGGCTTTGCTTTTGAGTCAACACCAACTACCCCCGAGCCGACAACAGAAATTCCACCGCTTACAACGCGTTTTGACGTCTCTTGTCGCGACACCGGAGAGGAAAAGAATGTAACTCTTCATACGAATATCAATGCGGTCTCTCTCCATATACCCTCATCCCGAGACCACGTTAGCACTCCTGAGCCTGTTGCAGGATCTACTCCACTACAGCCTGGGACAACTTGCGGATTGGTACGATGGTGCAGCCAGAGACACTTGGCCGCTTCATCATAATGGCTGAGGAACAGCTGGGCAGACTTACCGATTATAACCATACACTCAATCTCGTCGTTTGCAGTTCAAATAGACATTCCTAGCAATGGAGCCTACTTTGGCGCACCCTGCTTTGTGTTTTTCTATTGCATTCAACTGGGCTTTCGAAAGCTCTAGATGTGCCATTCCGAACAATTTGATGACTCTTTTCCTGCTCCTGGTCGGCAGCAGTTGATCAGGTCAGGCAAGAGGCGCAGCAAACAGGGTACAGCCGCAGATCAACTCACAAGCAAGCAATTGCGTGCCTGAGTCACACAAACTTCCACTTCCGTTTGCCGCGACGTTTGTGGTGAGTGTATTCAGCCATGCGGGTCACCATGGCTGAAGAACGATAGACCAGCCATTCTGTGATTATCTTACGGATACTTCACCTAAGGTAGTCAAGACACAATCCGGGGCTCCGCATTCTGCAATCACCCAAGGTAAGTAAGTCTACCACCACCATCCAGGCGTCACCACAGCATGGATGCTGGCCCGTGCAAAAGCTCTTATCGATAAGCCCCGCCGAGTTACTCATGATGTCAACGCTGCTTTAGACTCATCCATCTCTGAATTCCAACCACTCCTGCTTACCTTATGAATATTCCCGTATCTGCAAGAATACGGGTATGAAGCAGTATGCTGTGTGTGGCCTAACCATGTGGTCCAACTCAATTCTCAGCAGGTCAGAACTTTGTCCTGATTTGGGATCCTCGTATGATAGGCACTATTTGTGAGGGCTGTTGCATACAACATACTGTGGTCGATACCTACCTTAGTACACTTCAAGAAGTGGCAGGGAATAAATGGCCCCAGAATAAGCGGCCCAAAAGTAAAGCAGCGGGGCATTCTGTCACCCGGACGCGGTGTGGAGGTGAAAGTGGCCTCGACTGTCACTGCGGCACTGCCTGCCGTTAGACTTCGCCGCTCCGAGTCAATCGATGACTCCTTTCTCTGTTCCGTCGCGACGCCAACTTTGTCGGAACTAAAATTCGCCCCTCCCTCTATATAGCCTTACCACGCTACATTGCGCTCCCATCGATCAATTCCATCCGATATCTTCTACAACCCCATTATACTGCTTTTGACACGTATCAATGATCCTTAGGATACGAATATAACTGCTCCCATCACCCCACCATGACGAGCAAGAACATAAAGTCGTTACCGCACGAGAAGCGTAAGGGCGAAGCTGTATGGAGAACCCACCGAGTCCGAATGCCTTCTTCGCCCCGACCATCGCTGACCACTTCCCTCTAGGCTCTTAGCGACTTTGCCGAGTACGTCGAGAAGCAGCAAGCGTTACGGTACCCTAGCGCAAAAACGACCGACATTTCCAAAGTGACTGAGGCCCCCGAACATCAGCATGCCGAACTCGACGAGCTCTTTGACAACCTCGATCTAGCAGAGCCTACCCCTAGCGCCCGGCTGAAAGATCTCCTGCTGGGCACCGATGACGACACGCTTCAGAAGTTGGAGGGAGTGCTCCAGGAAAGGATAGTAGAGGGCCATGGGGAGGCCGTGTTCGAGCTCGGTTTTGAGAACAACGGCGAGTCGATGGCATTGTCAATAGAGCAATGGAACGCGGCATACACCAGATTGAAAGAGGCGGCCAAGAGGATACGAGCCGACTGCCAGACGCTCATCACCAAGAACATCGGTGGTGATGTCGAGGCCCCGAGTGCTCAGTCTGGCAAAGACAGCCATTGCAGTGGCAAGATCATGATTCGCCAGACGCCAGCAACAGTAGAGGATGTTATTGAGACTCGAATAGCTGTTGTTGGCAACGGTATGTGCCCTCTGCGTCCACCAATGATGCGCTTGCTGCGCGAGCTAGTGATCCCGCAGCATGAGTACGGCCGTCGAAATAGGCTAACCCACACATCACAGTCGACGCTGGAAAGAGTTCCCTGCTGGGAGTCTTGGTCAAGGGAGACCTCGACGATGGCAGAGGACGCGCACGAGTGAACCTATTCCGCCACAAGCACGAGATCGAGACAGGCAGAACCAGCTCCGTCGGCATGGAGATCCTAGGCTTCGACACCGTTGGAGAGGTTGTCGTTTCTGACACTCCTGGGAGTAGGCGTCCCTTTGGCTTCTGTCGTCAGAGTGACTCACTAACGATCACCAGGAAAACTGTCGTGGGAAGAGATTGGGAAACGCAGCGCCAAGGTCATTACCTTCACTGACCTGGCAGGTCACGAAAAGTACCTGCGAACGACTGTGTTTGGTCTGTTGTCGAGCAGCCCCAACTACTGCTTGCTGATGGTTGCGGCCAACAACGGTCTGATCGGCATGAGCAAAGAGCATTTAGGCATTGCTCTAGCCCTCAACGTCCCGGTGATGGTCGTCATCACCAAGATTGATATTTGCCCGCCCCAGATTCTCGAGCAGACCATCAGCCAGATTACCAAGATCCTGAAGAGTCCGGGAGCGCGAAAGATCCCCATCTTCATCAAGGACCGTGAGGAGTGCATAAACACGGCCACTCAGTTCATCAGCCAGAGGATATGCCCCGTCTTCCAGGTCTCCAACGTCACGGGCGAGAACCTCGACTTGGTCCGGACATTCCTGAACATCTTGCCGCACCACGGGCGCTACGATTCCGAGGCACCCTTTGAATTCCACATCAACGACACGTTTTCGGTTCCTTTCGTCGGTACAGTTGTCTCCGGAATAATCAAGGCCGGTGTTATCCACGCCGGTGACAACGTGCTCATCGGCCCCGACTCTCTGGGGCAGTTCACGTCAACCAGCATTCGTTCCATCGAACGCAAGCGACTGGGGGTACCGGCTGCTTCTGCGGGGCAGTCGGCGTCCTTCGCCCTGAAGAAAGTCCGGCGCAAGGATGTCAGGAAAGGCATGGTTGTTCTGCCCAAGCTTGAAGGACAGCCAGCTCCCAAGGTTCACAGGGAGTTCATAGCAGAAGGTGAGTCACATCGAGAAAGTGTTCAATCCGACGCCCAAGTTAATATATCTCTAGTTTTGATTCTCTCTCACGCGACTACCATCAAGACAAAATACCAGGCCATGCTCCACGTCGGGCCAGTTTCGCAGACGTGCGCAATAATCGATGTCGACCGTCCGTACATTCGGACTGGCGACAGAGCAACAGTGGCGTTCCGCTTCGTTCAGCGACCCGAGTATCTCGCCCCTGGCGATCGGTTATTGTTCCGAGAGGGCAGGACAAAAGGTCTGGGGATAGTCAAGTCGGTTGGCTACGATCCCAACAAGCCGCTATATCCGCACGGCGACTCTGCGGCTGGCGAAGATGGCGCAGCGAAAGCCAAGGATGAGGAGAATGGCGAGAAGACTGCCAGCAGTCAGGAAGTCAAGGTCGGAGCGTAAGAAAATTGCACCTGGCAATTGTATAACTGTGGGCGTTGAGCGGTGATTTGATTTTTGTAGTCAACCAGCATTGGGTTTCGAGCGATACCAGGATGTATACTTCCCAGGAGGTACTCTTTTACGTGCCTCATACATTCATTCAATCATCATTTGCATTCAAATTCCCTACCCAGTCTCAACACCCAGTGTTTCACTGCATTTGTTCGTCATCGTAGTGAAATGACTCATCTCACTCGTCTCAACTCATAGCCCAAGATCCTCCTCCCTCCACCAATATGAAGGACATCACAATAACCCACACTGATCCGCCATCATCCTCGGAAACGCAACAAGCCTCACCTCCCACCTCCCTCGCCACCTCGCCTCTAAATACTCACAAATCGCCCTCGTCTCCAGCACGGCCCGCCTCCACATCCACCAATGCTTCCGATCGCACACCCGCGCGAACCAATACGCCAGCAGCAGCATTGCCCGCTCGTCCTTGTCCTCGAGCAGCCGCCGGAACCGCGGATCCAGCTTGCTGATGAAGCCCATGAAGGGCTTGATCAGCTCGATCGAGTCCGGGTCCGCTATCACCGCGGGGGGAACTCGCCAACAGGCAGCGAGGGAGGCGGCGGCGGTGAAGTACGGGTTCGCGTGGGTTGGGTCCTGGATGAGGTCAAAGAGGTCTGCGAAGCCTTCTGGGAGGGGCGGACTCCATGCGTCCATCGCCTTTCCTTTATCCTCGGGTCCATCATAGATGGTGCTGCTACAACACGGCGCCTCGACGGGCTTCATCAAGTGCGCGTACAACTCGCTCGCCGCATCCGCAAACACGCCCCTCGGCGCACGTAGGGTATCCGTCATCTTCCACACCTGCTTCTTCCCGTCGCCCAGCTTCAGCCAGTCGAGGTCCGAGGGGCACCCCTGCCTAAGCGGCCAGGCGTCGCGGGGTGCGGCGAGCGAGGCGACGTTGGCGAAGGCGGCGACGCTGATGAAAGCGGCGGCGAGCCAGAGGGCGTCGCGCTCGCTGGGGAGTATGGGGTTGGAGAGTTTGCGGTGGAGGAGGGAGACGCCGCGGTACCAGTGGTAGGCTAGGGCTGTTTGGGTTGCCTGGGAGGGGGGGGAGTTTGAGGCGGGGAGGAGGGTTAGGTCGTGGAGGTGGGTCATTGCTATCACTGTGTGCATTACCACGGGGTGCTGGTGGGTTTGTTAGTCTGTGGATGTAGTAGGGAGGTTGTTTAGGGGCTTACGCAAAATGCAATGGGGAGGGTCTTTTTCTCGTAGATTGTTCGACTCTTTGGTGAACCGAGGCTCAGGACCGTCCTCTTTTGGAAGCGTTCGAGGAGGCGGACGTCTGTGGGGGTCAATTGATACGCCGCGTCTGGGCTTTCCATGGATCCGGTTTGCGGTAACGGCGGAGGGACGTAACGGGGCGGGAAGGGGGCCTGAGCAGGCGGAGCGGCTCCCGTAGGTTGAGGAGCGGGATCAGCTCTCGTTTGAGGAGGTGTGGGAGTAGTTGAAGCAGACGAGAGGTCAACACTAAACGCCACTTCCACAGAGAGGGCCGTCGCCGCGGACGTGGGGGCGTAGGAGCATATCACGCCGTACGAGACGCATTTCACGCATCGGGGTTTAGTCTCGTCGCACTATGTCTACTGTTAGACACTATAAACAGGAAACAGAAAGCCAAAGATGGATAGTCATCCCAGTTAGATAGTCCCTTGTAGAGACATATCTCTCGGGTCCCTATGGGGGATGGTTGCAGGAAGAATGATAGGGGTAGACTCGCTGACATGATCAGGAGTGCGCAAGATGAATGCTCAAGATGGACTCAATCCTTGGATATGATACGTACTTTCACCCGCCGCAACTTGCAGTTTCCGCACCCCTTTCTAGACTTCTTATGAGCCCTGCGCTTGCGCACGTCATCGCCCGGAGATGTTTCCAAGGCAGACATATCGATAGCCTGGCAAGCCTAGCTGAGGTGACTTGTAATGATCTGATCCAGTACACGGATTGTACTGGCTCGACCGGCGCCCTGCAGGTCCACGATACTCAAGGGACCGGACGCGGCTTAGATGGTCTAACGAGGTCGAGGCAAGTTTACCATGGAGATAGGGAGTGATGCTCGGCTGACAGCAGATACGAATGGAGGAAACAGAGCCGCAGGAACGAGAACAAAACACGCGTCAGCAAGAACGCGCCCTTTTTGATCCTCCCGGAGTTTACGAGGCCCACTCCTCCGGAAACCCCTCCGGTCATGAGGCGCTCATCTAACCCGCGATCGACGTCGAGCTACCCCGGTCGCCTCCGGACAGGATCCACAGGCTTATGCTGTCATGGATGTATATGATTGGATGATCTCCGACACAGGTGGGTTCACAGAATGAGTCTAACCTCTGCTCGTATTTGGAGAATTACTGCGCTAACCTCGTTTCGTATCGAGAGAAGCACCCCGCATCAGGAGGATGATGGACGTGGAAGTCGGAACAGAGAGTAGATGTTGGAAAGTATGCAACCTGATGTTTAACTTGAGTAGCTCATATATCGAAGAATCTGAATTCGTCTATCGTTCAAGATATGTTTGACTGGATCAGAATCCGCTATAAGGGAAAGGAGGTAGGGTGAGGCTGAGCCTCGCTTCGAGCTTGTTGTTCATCGTTGGGAAGTCTTCAGCAACCCTGAATCTCAAGATATTGCCATTAATTGAAGTGGTTTGATATATTACTATTTCCATTGTAGCCGTGTTCAAGGTACTATATGGTTGATTATCATTTCGTTCATTGCTTCATAGAGCACGGGTATATATATTCGAAGACAAATCCGCTTCCTTGCATCCATCCACGGATGAGAATCATGATCACGCCTTGTCCACCTCAACATCGATTCCGAACCTATCAATACCTCCATCCCGCCACCACCCAATCCCAAACCTCATAGCACCGCCAAACACCCCAGCCCGACAGAGCTCCCCGTCACTCCTCCACTCCGCCCCCTCCGGAACGACCCTCCTCGTCGCCATCTCGCTCCCAGCAAGCATCGTTCCCGTCCCAGCAATCGAGCACGGATCGTGAGGCAGCACCCCGTTGACGTCGATTAGCAATCTCGACACGACGATACACAGCGCCATGACGCCCAGCATCGCCTGCAGAGCAATCTTGGGCCCGGCGTTCTGGTGCAACCGTCGCGCGCTCTGGGATACCAAGAGGCCCTGGTATGTCGGCAGCCGGTTCGATCCAGTGCTGCTCGTTGCGTTGCGCATGTTGGCCGCGATGGCTTGCGCAATGTACGTCTTGTATAGGCCGTTCGAGGCCTCAATCAGATTTTGCGAGTTCTTCTCGCCGGCTAGCTCCTCGATTGGCCGCCCGTTCCTACCCGTGACGAGCGCGCGCGTAAAAGGGTCGATAAGAGTCTCGAAACCAGTCATGTTGCTACCGTTTGGTCCTTGAATCGTCACGTTCCGGGCCGAGGTCGAAAAGTCCAAAAAGAATTTGTTGAGGGAGAACTCAAAGGAAGTCGTGTCTGACTTTGGGGCACGTAGGAGCTCAATCGTCGACTCGTCCACCACCGGCGGCGACGTCCTGCTGATTGTCATATCCGGAGCGTTGAACGTGACGTTGGCTTCGACCTCCTGAATATTCTGATGGCACACGATTGTCGCCAGGTCGCTCTCGACGTCAAAGTTGGTCCTCGTCGTGTTCCTGTACTTTTCCTTCCGGGGGGTGGCCCTCGCGGTGCCAAACGTTACGGCTACCGTAGGACAGCCCATACCCCCGATATCATAGTCTGTCGTTGGCCAGCCATTTCCAGCTGATGGGCTTGTATCAATTGCACCGTCACCGTAGACGAGACTCGAGTTTCCCAAACTCCAAATCATGATGGAAGTTTTTCCAAGATATACCGGAGACCCGGAGCTTGGAATCTGGAAGTACTGCATCCACGTCTTCGAGGTCGTATTTGACGGCCTGCGTCCGCACATCCAGGGAAGAGTGGTGTTTATGGCAAGTAGGGCAGTCTGATTATTGACGCTCACCGAAGTGCCCATGCCGCCGAGACGAACCTCCATGGTACTTCTGTCGAACAGTACCGGCTGAACTTCGCGTTGCTCGGCAGGTATGACGGAGCAATTCAAGTTACCGCGGATCCCCGTCATCTTGGCCGACAGCGGAACCTGGCCATTGGCGATAGCCTGATTGCTGAGACCCATGGGTTTGATCTCGTTGAAGACCAAATCACCAGACGTCCATTTTGGATCTGGCAGGTTGACGTACTCGATCAACGATGTGATTGCGGTCGCTTGGTTATCTTCGGCCCAGAGAGTGGTCTGGTCAAGCCGGAATGCGTCCATCTGCTGCAGAGCAACGCCTTCAACCTGCTGCACGGCCAAGACGCTGTAAAGACCCGAGACAACAATGGTGAGGAATCCAGCCATGATGTTAGCCATCAGAATGACAGTGACGCCGAAATGCCGTGAGCGAATAGAGTCCCATATGGCGTGAGGAGCCATCCTGCCGACGAGATTCATAAATACGGAGCGGCTTGCAATGGCGTTCCGCTTCTTGAGCGCGGCAAATGGCGCAAATATGGCAGCCATCGCCTCGAAGCTCGAGTACATACCAGCCAAGGAGATGGCCACGGCGGCAGGTATGTACGTCGCCAATACTGTCGAAGTCTTCGTGCCCACCTCCATGAACCCATCTCGGTTGTCTGAAATGCGCTGGATAATTTCCAACGCTGCAATAGCCGCCAGAGGTAAAAAGACACTGACTACTAGGAACCACGGAGCCCCGGCCAAAGGGCGCCACCAAGAAATCGACTGGTGTTCCCTCGGCACTGCGCTACGTGAGGGTTCCATTTGACCATGGCTAGGCTCAATGGTGTATGTGGTCTCTGGCCCAGGTCGGAGAGACCCTTTGAACAGAAACCCGGATAGCGTTTCTCGGATGAGACTTCTGCGTGATGACCCCAGGCCAGTGAACAGCTTGTTCAAATCCGGACTCGCCGCCAGTATTGTGACACTCGCCGCGATCGATCCTGGCTCTCTCGGTGCGACGTTTTGAGGCCGGAGGAAGATCATAGCAATGCTTATGAGAGTCAGAATTCCCAAAAAGGAACACATCAAGGCTGTCGAAAGGCCCTTCACATGCAGGCGGTTCTCCAGGTACGTGATGGAACCCTGCGTCGTCGTATTGGATGGCTTTAGGGATGTCTGAGACAGAACCTGAGCGCCTATTCCCTTGAAGACCTCAGATGCCGTGGAGATTAGAAGGTCCGTGTCCATGAAAGATCCTATCGTGGACAGACCACGCTTCATTTTCATCATGAGGAAGAAGGTAGGGACGGATGTCGATAAGACAAAGTCTACACCTCCATCACCAATCTTGGTCTGTTCCGCAGAGTTACTGACAGCAAGACCCAAATAGCCGTTCGGGAAGCCGGCGATGCTGCTATTCGCGTTCGTGTCTTGGATGGCACTCTGCAAAGCGACCTCTGACTTGGCACCGGCAAAGGTACTCGATTTGACTTCATAGTTGCTCATGGTGTAGTCATACTTGCACATGACTGCCACAATCTTTTCCATGTAGATGTACGCGGGGCCGTTCCGCCTCGTGTCCATGGGAGAAAACCTCATGTCCGCTACGGTAAAAAGCATACGATGCGGAAGGCTGGTATTGGTCAGTTGTTCGGTGGTGTACTTGGTCAGAGGAGGGTTCGGCGGTGCGCTCCAGTCCACCCCGTTGTTGCAAGTGTAGTCCTGGTACCATGCTTGGTAGTTCTGCGTAGCATTTCGCTTGGCGTAGATGTTGTGATCTGGGCCGGCGGCCACAATGGCGCGGGTAATGTTGCACTCCGGTGTGGTGATGTTGGCGACCCAGAAGGCTCCGTTGATGCTGAACCAAGGCAGCGAAGTCATGGTCGCATTCTGTATGGGAAGAGTTTCGCAGCTGAACCCAATCTTCGCACCTGGTGTTGTAGCAGTAAAGTTGGCATCAGGACGGCCGTTTCCCATCGCATTGAGCTGGGGAATGACCATGTCCTCTGATGTGCCAGACGGGTAAGGCAGATTTTGGAAGTTGATGGCGTAGTACACCTGTGCAGGACCCGGTCCCATGTCTAGAATATCGAATCCACCAGCGTCGAAGCTCATCGTCATCACAATATCGACGTTGTCACTTGTAACTTCCGTCGGCTCGAGGATGAGTAGACCCGTGGAGAAGACGGTCTATTATCGTTAGTATTATCCCCTCCGTCTTTCCTGCTTTCTTTAGATGGTTTCTTACCGTGAGAAGGATCAGGGCCCAGCCAGCGATGCTACCAACGACAGCCCAATGGCGATTCTTGATTGCTTTCCAGAAACTGGTCGTCACCAGTGGTGAGACGTAGTCTAGAAGGAGTGTCTTTTGCACATCAGAAGGACCACTACGTAGTTCCTTCCACGGCATCAGGATCTTGTTGGCGTAGTCTACCTGTCGCCACAAAGCAGCCACGATGACGAGAACTTGGTAACGATGTCATATCAGTGTTTGATGCAAGTTGTTTGTCTGTAGACCTGAATACTAACCAGCTGTAGGTCCATACTTCCAGCCATAATGATTGACTTCTTGCTGTGTGCTCAATCCATGATTCTGTACGGAGAAGTGGTAAAGTAGAGCCGTCGTGAGAAGCATGGCGACAAAACACACCGCAAACGTGACGAGAACCGTCTTCCTCAGCCACACAGGGTTCCACATGCGAGGCCGGGACTCCTCGGACCATTGCGATGGCGTTGGGCTCTTGCTATAGCCAAACTGGATACGTGAGGGCTGTTTTTGTTCTGCGAAATCACAGACGCCAGACCATGTCCCGGGGATAAGTAATGATCGCCATCGTGTCTGTGGTGATCGCTGAAGTCGACACGCTCATCCAAAAACGCCCTGTTCTCGTCCAAGGCCGGGTGTTCGCGGTGTCGCACGCTGTTATCGTGACCCCGGAGCCCTCTGTCCTGCTCATCATCATCATCCTGCACCCCAACAACTTCGTACTGCGCCGAAGCAACGGGTTTTCGATGAATGCTCCTCGGCTGGGCTACAAAGAGGTCGCGGGTCGACGCGATGGGACCAGGCATGATGGGCGACGACGCTGGCCAGCGTTCAAAGGCATAGTAGCTTCAAGAATGGTAAAATACGTGAGTCCACAGAAGGAGGAGGCATGTAGTCTGATTTATTGGATTAAGATAGTGCAGGGTAGGAATAGGAGGCTGACAGCGTCTCTAGGATCAAGGATGTCGGGCTCGGGTAGGCAACGAGATCCAACTCAAAAAACCATCAATCAGAGTTGGATTGATCCAACAGTGGCGGTCGACGAGTGCTAGGGCTGCTTGGGCTGGCGCCATTCCCGTCGAGAGCTCGACAAGCCATGTCCACAGGGGGATTGCTTGTGTGGTACCGAACCAATGGCAGCTCGTGCCACTGTGATCATTGCAGGGCGAGGTCGATCTAATTAAAGGCAACTCGTCTTACTTTTCCATTTGAGCCCGTTAGATTTGGCGATAGAGCACTAGTACACGTTGGTGTCTCGTTCCTGTGGCTTTTGTGATGCGACATGGCTGAACCGGGCAGGTACCAGGGTATCACTCACCCCGCTCGAGAAAGAATGCTGCTGCCTAAGCCTCTTGCATGACGCGATGAAGCCTCACTGCAGAAGCCTAGGAAATCCCAATCTCTCGACATCATACCTAAACCTCTCACCTCCCGTGGCTGGTGACATGAAAAATGAACGAAGTGGCGCGCTGCGGTAACGATAAGGTTGAGGCACAGCAATAAGGTATAACAAGGAAGTGGGTGTGGCTGCGATGCGCATCAGTGCGTTCTCCACGATGCCCAGTTCCCCGGGTTAGTGAGTGAGCCACGAGTGGCGCAGTATGTGGTTTCTAATCTCATTATTCGTGATTATGAGATCTCACCAAGAACGACTTACAATATATTATTGAGAATTTCCTTCTGTCACTACTGACAGAAGAGTCGAGAGGAAGAATAATTGCCCTGATTCGCGAAATCTCACTCTCCAAGGTGCTTTTAGATCGACATGTGCGCTGACCAAAGTCGGGCCTAAGCGACGTCGGACCCTTTCGTTCACTTAGAGCAGTTGAAGGTGACAATACATAAGGAACATCATGCGTGTCAGTACATAGAGGATGAGAGCTATGAGTATGAAGTCGAAATGAGAGGGCTCGTCCAATTTTTTAAACCTGGCTGGAAGCCATTTGTTTCTTGCTTCGATGCTCCCACTACTATTTTAAGATTTATCCCGTGTGGGGGGAAGCCGTTCACGACTTCCGTTACGTGGTCGCGTGTCGGAATGAGTATTGGTCCACTCGCGTAAATGAAATAAGTCGTCAGCAAGACTTTGCGGTCCGTACTAGCGAAGACGCGATAGTGCTCTAGACTTCTGGAGGTCTTGTTGATGACGAAGAAGTCATTAATAAGAAACGCCGTGAAAGGCAGCTTTCGGACGAACATGTTGTGAGCGGGATGGACCTACAGTAGTAAGCCAGTGGGATGAGCCAGCCGGTGGATTGAGAGTAAGCTGTAAGTGACGATAGTCGGTCTTTCGAATCACAGCCTTCACAGACAGCGAATCAGCCAATGAACATCTGATCATCTCAGAGTTCATGAGACCGACGTCGGACAGAGTTCGTGAAGTCCCCGAAAGCAGGAAAAGCTTGACAGTGACTGGATGAACGATGAGCAGTGAGTGAGTGCAGAGTGAGAGAATGGTTGGCCGGGGACACCCCAGACTTCCCTCTCAGCTGTGAGCCAGTGACTTTTGTTGGGCGAATCACAGGCGCCAATGGCTTCCCCCAAAGTCACCCCCGGGCGGGCACAACCGACGAGTCTGTGGCTCTTCCTCCACTGTACCTTACGGTGTACCTGGCCACAAACGGCCCTGTGCACTTTGTACGGGCAGGCGGCAGGCCACAGCTGGAAGGGCCTCCCCCCAGGTGCAACACAAGCCAATCACAGACCCACAAGGGGTAAGCTGCACCTTGACTTCAAACGTCAAAAGTGTTTCGTTCTTCTCCCTCCCGCCAACACTCCACCACTCCTTCACCACTCACTCCTTCATAACTGCAGACTGACTGGTTCACAGACTTCAAGGAATTGTCAAGGAGCCCCTGCTTCTTTGCAAGACTTTGCAGCCTCTGCAGCCTCTGCAGCCTCCGTTGGCGTCCCAAATGCTGGAACCTGTCAGATGTCGCCCTGTCGTTTGTGCCTTTGCACGGAACTGCGGCTACGCAGGGGTTGCCCCGTCCGCCGCATTTCTTACCTACGAAGTCCTCCCATGATCCATCGAGAGACATGCCATCAGTCCAGCTCGTTGGCTGCGAAGCAACAAGTATGACGGACATTTTGCTTGACGTCTTTCCCGAACAAGTGAAGACTGAAAGAAAGACAAGGGTCTTCTTGACGAATAGAGCCAGAAGGACGCAGTCGACTAGTGTCTTGCCGTTCCCTCAACTATTCTCCGACCTCGTCACTCGCTGTCCTCATATCTGAGCGAGCTGCTCATCTTCATGTTCATCCAGTCTTCTTCAACCTGTTGTCTACGGATCACTTATCTTGCGCCCACTTCTCCATCAAGGCCACCTGCATTTCTTGCCTCCCCGAACACTCGGCTCCGCGTCTCTCTTCTGTCTGACCTGGGAACTCAAAGTCCAGAGCCACAGCAGCGTGTTTGGGTGTCATTGAGCAGCGGACGGCAGCAACTCTGTTTCACAAAACCTCGGATCGCCCAACCTCAAGATCAACAGTGTTTGATCGCACCTCCTTGCCCTCACGCTTCACCCTCACCCTCGCCCTCCTTCTCCTACGGATACTCTCCCTTCCTCTGTTCGCACCGTCCCTTCTCCCTACCCTGCCTTACCTTACCGTACCGTACTCCAAGTCCCAGCCGGACCGACGCCCACACGAACGCAACTGCCCGTCGCCTGGTGTCACCGACGCGCCCAAGTGGCTTGATCAACCAACTCCTTGACTTACAGCTTCCGACTCTCCAACCAGCGACGTCTTTACATTCGGACAAACACCATCCGCCCGGACTGCATGCCACTTTGAAAGCGGGAAAACGGATAGACAGACGAACGAAGCTTCACCCTCTAGCAGCGCAAAGACGGTTCTTGAACCTTTTTGCCTCTCTATTTCCTCTCATCTTGCCCGACTTGATCCGTCTGCTCGTCTGCTAGTCTGCTAGTGCAACCCTTCTTCGCTACGGTGAATCACGATCGGCAACCTCGCCGTCAATAATCCCACCGAACATTCATCCCTTTGGATCCCTTCTCTTCAAACGGCCCATTTCTCTGCCCATCTTCTACCCATGTGGTAGAAAAGAGAGGCTCTCCTAAACCCTGTCTGACCGGCGCATGGTCCATGCCGGCTAATACAAGAAACGCGCTTCATCACCAAAATCTCTCTTAGTCTCAAGCCGCCCCAATCACCAGATCTCGACTACACACCAAAGCGGCCTGCTGGCATTGACGAGCTCGCCCAAAAGAGAGCGCACTCCCGCGACCTTCACACCATCGTCATCTGTAAGCACTTCCTCAGCAGTAGCAGGCAGCTTCACGGCCAGACAAGACCAAAACCTTCGAATCAACGCCCCGGCAAACCCAACCGTTTGGTCGTCTAAGCTCTGGACCCTGCCGGCCCTGCGACCCGCATTGACGTGGTTCTCCCAGCCGATCGTGCCGTCATCCCCAGCAGCTTCTGTCTGACACGCGAGACGTTTCGGCCTTCTGGCCTTCTCTGCCCGCCGCCCGAACTACCACGCTTCTGTCATTCCATCCCCAAAAGTCAAGCGCCTCCCAGCCAAATCCTGGCCTGTCAAGTTCAGTCGGCCACCGTCTTCCTGGCCGCTTCGTCACTATCCTGTCGACGACGACTCGACCATCTGCCACGAAACATTTACAACCAATATACGAAGAGAATCTCACAATCAACAACGCCCGAGTGGGAAAATCATCTCAAACACATCCAACGGCGGCTACGCCACGCCAGAACGCGATCTCATTCATAGACGACGGGCGAAAACACCCGAAATGAGGAGGCCGATATTCGAATGCCCTCAGCGGCGCTTGGTCGAGCTCTTGGTCATGGCGTCAGCGGCAACAGCAGCAACAATCAGTGTCGGAAGCACATCACTCAGCCTGTCTAATTTCCAGCTGATTACAGAGCTCTCCGTTCCGCTGGGTTGCCTGTTATCATATAACAACCCCATCGAAGGATGCGAAGCCACCGACTTTGGTAGCACGGGAACGTGCTCCCAGAAATGCAGAAATGGCCTGACTCGCATGCAAAGTAATCTCCAGGACGTTTGTCAGTCTGTTCAAGTACAGGTCAACACGATACTGGGCCAAGCTCTGTCCGGAAACCTGGTGAACTTGCTCTGCGGCGCTCTCAACCAACAGACGTCATCCGCAGTGCAGACGATATCTACCACGACGATAATCATTCTGCCTTCAACAACCGCTATTGCTCCTCCTCCACCTCCGCCTCCGCCGGTTACTACGTCTGTCGCTCCACCGCCGCCGCCACCAACAACATCATTATCAACATCAACGCCTATTATACTGCCGCCGTCGAGCCAGGCGCCTCTGCCTCCGGCAACCACAGCGATACCACCAGTGTCTAGTCAGGCGCCCCCTATCATACCCCCCACTACTATTGTCACTTCAACAACAACGACTGAGAACCAGGCCTCACCTCAAAGCACCTCTTCAGCCCCGGTGAACCCTCTCGATGCTTTGCTCATGAACGGCGCTATGGCCAGCAAACCCAGAGGGGGTATTGCGTGGAGCCTACCGATCCTTGCCGTTGTCATGTACGGAGTTGCTTGATTGTTGGGTTCGAAGTATCTCAATTTCGAAGCACTGCTGGAGCGAAACGCATGAACAGACCAATTACTAATGTGTAAGATTATTATTTCTTTTGTTGGGAGATTACAAGTGGGAAGGATACGGAAGAAGACATCTCGGGGTACTGATGTTCCTCCAGAGAGTGGCTGGAGATGCAAAAGAGGGCGAGGAACGCCGAGTATGACGATTGCGTGGATTATGACCTTTCACGGCGCATCAAGATACCTTCATTAAGATACGGACATTGTAACACTTGATACCACATAGCATGGCTTGAGCACATAGAGATAGCCAAGCTTGAAGACGAAATTGGAGAAGCAAGATGAATTACCTACAAAGGGGCGTGGGGAAGGAACCCTCTCACTGCGCAAGAATCTGGATTGTGCCCATAGTGACTCTTGGATAGCCGATAGACGCCGCATCCGCAATCATATTGTCTATTCTCCCCCCGCCTCTTTGAGCCTCCATTACGCAGCTGTCATGCAAGGCCCCCCGACGCAAGGATCTTCCCCCAATGCACTCCCCGGTCCGGGGCGCCGCGCAGCCGGCAGGACCCCAGCGGGCCCACCCCGGTCTGCCACGCATGAACCAAGCTTCTTCGGATACGGCCGCTCGAGTCTCTTGACCAGTCACCTCTCGCGTTGGGGTAGAACAGTTTATGCGGCGGGGTTTCGACGGTACCAAAGACTGGGTGTAGGCCTTTCGAGGTTGGTTGTCTGTCAAATCAGGAAGGAAGGGTGGGGGGGCTAGAACGTGTTAAGGCTGATGATTGATTGATGACGGAAGAGGGGTTCAATCAAGGTCCGGCCTTGGTGGTCTTGAGGCCTGGGGATCCCGGTTCAGTCTTGGGCGGCGAAGGGGTGGTGGTTAATCCGGCTTGGAATCATGGAGGAAGGAGCCACGCGGGATGTCAACCGCACCTGCCTTACGGAATACTAATCTGATATTCCTTCCCCGTGAACCTGAATCCACGCAGGAAGGAAGCCCATTTGGACCCCCTCAAGTCCAATTCCGTCACCAACGGCAGCAGGCGCCTCACAGGCTTGCGAGGTCAGGTCAAAGCTGCCGTTTGGCGGGATGGTTACGGGCGAGCTTACCTATTCAACTGGCTTAGCCTACACCAGGGTTCTAGGTTCGAGTCCCAGCATGTGCACCAAGAGATGTATGTAGCCCCCGTTCGCCACCGGGGGGGTGAACTCTTTTGTTTTTTTGGTTTACTTCTGGGAATCTGTTGTGGAGTGCTTTTCGAATGGGTCTTGCGTGAGATTCCTGTATGGGAATTTGGGTGGGTTGAGTCAGGGTTGGAAATTGGGCGGAGGAGTGGTGTAGTCTTGAAGGATGCCGTTGGTCGGCGAGCCGGGGATCGGGGCGGGGTGGAGTCGTGTCCGGGAGTTACGGACGACTGCCTGCTCTGAGGCCGGATATCACGGGTACAGCCACTATTGTAATTGGGGTCGCACTTGGAATTCGGCTCGTATTAAAATGGAGGCAAATCTCAGTATACCTATCATTGCTGAAATACAAGAGGACAAAGGAATGGATAAGAGCCGAAGTTCTTAGTCAGTGGAGGTAGGTCTGCCTGTACTCGCAATCTCTGGGCCTTGTTCGCCTTTCGAAATATCATCGCCATCCGCGTCTTCGTTGTCAATGTCCTGGCCATCCACGGCTTGGATCTCCAAGTCTTGGTTATCCACGCCTTGGCTCTCCACGTCTGGGTTGTCCAAGTCTTGCCCGTTCAAGTCTTGCCTGTTCACATCTTCGTTACCCAAATTTTCATTATCCACGTCCTTCTTACTACCCACAAACTTGAAGTCATCGTCGTCCATAACCCCGACAGTAAAGTGCTTCGTTCCATCCGATCTTTTCTGAAACCAACCCATGCGAAAACGTGCAGATGAAAGCCGGTTGTAAAGCTCATTATTGGATAACTTGTGAGAGCCTTCGGGAATGTGCTTCGCAAAGTTCGAAGAGTTCAGAAGAGCAGCCATCATTGCTATGCTGCTAAACCCATCAGGCGCCAACCCTTTGACATCCATGTCGAGCAATCCCCTCCGCCACGTCGTGAATCTTCGTAATGCCGACGACAGAAGCATGAAGATGTGGACTATGCCAACAGTTCCTAAAATACTCACGAGAAGATACGTCGACGTTGGCTTTTGAACAAGCCGCTTAGCGTCATTGTTGATTAGAACTGCACTCAGTGGCTCGAGTCCATCAGATGGCATATCCTCTACAGCGATTCGATTCTCGATGTTGAGAATCTGGGCACTGAGAAGAGCGCGATTGTAGTTCAGGGCCTCGAGAATCTTCCAGCTCTGTTCCGGATCACCGAAAGCTTCAAGTGGAACCTTCCCGTAAGGCGGGACCAGGATGCTGAAAGCGTTGAGATACGAAATTAGGCCTTGCGACCGAGTCACCTCCAGAAATGCGCTGCCAAAACTTTCCGCTCCTAATCCATCGGTTTGAGGATCGAGATAGGGCACAGGGATGGGGTGCTCCCACGGACTTGACGTCGAGCGATCGGGGCGTGGAGGGCTGGTGTGGTTCATGACAAGCTTGCCGTCGACGTAGACCATTTCGACAGACACCATGATCTTCTCCCACGAATATCGGCACTGCCAGGCTTGCAATGACTCGATGTCAGTTTTCGAAGAATTAGAACCTTCCCATAAGTAGACTTTAGATACTGAAGACGCAGAATCCAAGACGCTGCGGTTGTGAAAAGCCTCCATGGCACAAGCCGAGCTGTTAGCACTTTGAGAACTCCACTTGGATTCCTCGAATCCCCATATTTCGGCATAGGCAGTTGGCCACTTTTTCGAATCTTCAGTAGGTTTACTGGGACGAGGAATGAAAGCATCCATTGTGTCAGGCGTCCCATCAGCGCAGGTAACTGGTATCCGAACGTTATAGTACAATGCACCATCAACATCCGTGGTGCTACTAATGTTGACCGCTCGCCTTTCACAACGCGAGACCAACGTTGCTGCCGGTAGGGATAACTCGACTGGGTTGCCGTCAGTTGCCTTTGTAACCGAAGGTGGCAGATCGCCAATGCTAGGAAATGCTAGGTCACGAAAGGTGTTTTCCGGGTAGGTCAGATTCTCTCCTTCCTGTAACACCAGGCTTCCGACAAATGCCCGATTGTTTCAGTAGTACTGGTCATCAGGCTCCAATGGCCTCTTACCAAACCAGCTATGTTGTCGAAGCTGGAACTCGTCACGTCTGGACACAGACTCAGCTGTCAAAAGGGTAGAGGCGATAGTCGTCAAAATAGCGCAGAGGTTTGCCAAGGATTGCGATAGCGAGATGGACCAAGCTTTTCGCCGGACCGCTGTTAACAGGGCTCGCGGCCCAAGCATATCCAAAAGGGAGTTGTCCAACTGCTTCGAATGACATAGTCTCTTTGTGAGGCTGTGAAGAGTGAATAGACTTCTCAGTGATGCGTTGAATGATGCTGTGTATAGGGAAACGCCAAGCATGATGAGCGTCGGTAACGAAGTCCACAGCAGGTAGTTGTTCCCCTCCGTTGGTGGCAGCCCACTCTCTGCGTCAGATAGCTTCATGGTGTATAGTAGAGCCGCAATAGTGATGAGGACTGCAACAGTGAAAGCTGACTGCACCCATTTCTTCAAGATGAACGGCACAAATCTGTTCCGACTCCGCCAGGCATCCATGTGCTTTTCCTCAAAGTATGAAATCTGGTCGACAGCTTTCTGGCGGGTATGGAAGAAAAGCATATTTCCAAGAACTGTTGCCGGATCTCTATCCCATAGCATTGTTTCTTCTCTGTAGCGAATGAGAATGAAGGTGTTGATTGAGGCGATGACTGCGAAAAGGGAAACCATAGGGTATCCAACTCGGTACTCAACCTTCAATTTCTCAGCTTGCCTGCGCTCGCTGCCCATGATTTCCTTGCTGTTTTCATGACGTAGACTATAGTGGCCGGCAAGAGGACCCAACTTTCTGACCAGACCGACCATGGAATCATACAGCGCCTCGGTCGTATTCAGTAGACCGGTCTGGCCATTGGCAGCTTTGCTTTGATATTGCGCCCATACTCCAGCGGGCCCGTACTTGAAGTCGCCATAGTTAGATAAGTAAAAACTCGAGCCTAAACCACCAGAAGGAACAAAATCGATGGGCAAAGAGCGTTCGATCATGGTCCAAACGTTGACGCTATGCGGTGTCCTCGATTGGCTTCCCAGTATTCTTAGCCTAGGGTTGATTCCGTCATCCAGAATTTCAACCGGCGAAGTCCAGGCAGTTGGTGAACAAATTATTGCTGCAAATGCATCAATCTCAAGAGATGATGATGACTCAGAGGCGTTTCTCATCGTGAGAGCCGAAAAAATGTACTGTGGGTTCTCCTGAGGGATTTTACGACAAGGCCGATCACGATTAAGCGGAGCGCTGAGTCCCCAGATGGTCTCGTTGCTTTTCGTGGTCCGGTGTGGTAGGTCGTGACACCCTTCAAAATTGAGGACAAGATCGAAAGAGCTGGTAGGCGACTGTACTTCAAAATTCTCCAGCCTCAGGCAGTGCATTTCCGTGAAGAAGCCATCAACAATGACCGTGATGGGCGCATCAGTGGTGCCCCTTGATTTGAATAGTTGATGGGCGGCTTCTTCAGCCACACCAAACGGGTAGCTCAAATTAAAATCGTTGATAGCTCGAGCAACATAATAAACGCTGGAACCGTTCAGCGCCGATGTCGATGAACCGGAATCTGCTGATCTTGAACCTTTATCAGGCGCCTTAAAGGCGTCTAGGATCCGCACGGGGGTAGGCCGTGAGAGTCCAGCCTGTCCGAGATAAAAAAGACTTGGAACGAGGACAATTTGTACCTTGATAAGGAGAGAGATGAGTGTTACCAAGAACACTAGGAGATGTTTCCGGCGGAGTGATTGGTAGAGGATAGTCGGTACCATCATCGAAGGATAGTCAAGGTTGTAATCAACATCGTCCAGGGACTGCCTTTTGCGTAGGATGATCCAGATATTGTACCTCTGAGCTTGAAGATCGACTCTTGCCCAAAGACCAGCCACAAGGGTGAGGACTTCACAACGAAGACGTCAGTTTGAAGGGTTTGCTGGAGCTGGGTCAGTGGCGCAAGTTACTTACCAGCGGTCGGACCAAACCTCCACACAAACGTGAAGCTAGACCGGGTCCTGAATAGTCCATCTTGTTCAAGGGAGTAACATGATACGATGAGAAGGGCGATTGTGGTACATGAGAAGAAGACTGCAAATTTGGCGAGGACGAAAGGTCGCAACCAGTCCGGGCGCCAGGTTCGGCCCTCATCCACGTATGCCTTCTCCTCTGCTCCGATATTGAACCCGCTCAGGCGATTAGGAGATTCACTTGAATGCAATTGCGAATTCGGATGCTTTCGTCGGAGTGAAGAGATGCCAGCATTACCCATGAGCTCGTCACGCTCCGAGGGTTCTCCTTCTCCCACATGCCGCAGGTCAGGGTCGGTTGGGTTCTCTCCTGATGTTTCGTTTTCCCTTTCGTTCGATGGCGTCTCTTGGATCTCGGCTCGGTACACGTGTTGAGTAAAATTTTCGTCGGTTCCGGCAATCGGTTCGTATTCTTGAGAGCGCCGATCATCTTTGGACGAGCTTTGCGCTCTGTTGCTGTGAGATATCATTCTCTTCTTAGAGGTTCATTAACAGAAGCGTGTATCTTCTCCCTAGCTTGTTGCAACTAGGAACGTCCAACGTTTTCCATTTTCACGATCTGGGAAAAGGTATTGGGAACGATGACATGAGGCGGCAGGCTTCTTAGACAGTGGCACGTCACACAAGGCTGGGTTGCCCTCGAATTTTGATGCCAAGTAGCCAAGATCCTACTAAAACTGCAGGTTTCACCTGCGCCATCTCAAGAAAGGGGAAACAGCGGTTCTACGAAGAGTCCACTCGAGCAAGGCTCTATCCCTTGAACACAAGTTAATTGGCATGTGCTCCGCGGCAGCCTGCTTCATTTCCCAGCAACGCGAGCATAATCACTGATGGAAAGATCGATTAGTTTGATCATCCAAGATGAAAGAACTCTTTGCTTTTTAAGTCTATGAGCATAGCACTGCACTGATTGGACGATTCTGATGGGTGCTTTCTGCTGTCCATCGAGGGTTGAGTACGAAGAATTCACTTTTTACAGGAGCCATTAATGATCCAACTGCTTTGCCAGTAGTTGCCCAAGTCCCTGGCAAGTGCGAACGAGGGCTCAAGTTGGAAGTTGTTGGTCCCTCGCCATGGGTAAGTAAGGTTAGTAGTATGGCACATCCAGTCATCGCATCCGATGAACTTCGTGATGAACCTTGGGAAAGCAGAGAGGCGCAATGGTAGGTCGGAGCCTATTCCATAGCCAAGCGCGTAGTGCCTTATCCAAAGGTAGATAGGGTACTAGTAGAACTCCGTCTGTAAGCTAGCGGTGGATCTCTGGCTCCCGCTGTTGCTATCCGTTCGTACTCCGTACGAATGCCTACACTCGCTGGCCCAACGTGAGGGACCCCCAAGTGTTGTTACCCTAGGGTTATGAAGAGTTTATCAAGGCATCGCCAATGGCACTCATGTCCCTTCGGACCCTTTGGTTGAACCTGAAACGCCCAATTGATGGACTCTTGAGCTGTCACGCTGGCGCTAAACATTTCCCATGGTTATCGAGGCTGATAGCTTCAACTGTTTCGCACACAGGAATATCACGAGTCGCCAACTTCACGAACCATGCTTATTCCGACTCGCCGAACTGTTAGAAACGGGGCTGTCATTGAAGAATCAAGGTTCCGTAGCGGGTTCGACTTGGCCCACAGTAAGCCGAATATTGAGACCCGTACCCCATCGTGTTGCAGTAGTTTTCGACCCCACGGGACCCATCAAGGTCTTCGTACCTCTGACAGTATAGCACGATTCAGAACTCAGTCAGCATGATTATGGTCGAATTCTTCAGCCAAGCAACTTCTGTAGCCTATTCCATCCCGTTATTTGTCGGCGACAGCTGCCTTTTGGGTACAACCCTGAATATTGCTTAGGACCATGGGTCCAGGGCTTTGAAGAAATGTCAATCGAGAAGAATATCAGATTTCAGATACAAGAATGCTCAGACCCTAGGCCGTCAGCTTCACCGCTTGGGAGCTCTTCACACTCACTCAAGTTGACAACTTGTGACTTCCCAAGATGAACCTCTCGTGCCGGGCTCTATCGAGTGTTCAAGCCCACCCTGTCTCGCGGTGGATCAACTCAGCTTACAGCCCAAGAGCGACAGTTGAGAGTTCTCGTGATGATTTTGCCTGTTTCTTCCCTTGGCCCCATCGCTCTTGCAGGGTTGTTGTGAGGCCCATTCTAGGCAGCTTCCTCAAGTTAGGTGAGCGCTACAATGGAAGCAGATGCATCTCGTAGTGGCCTCGAAAGTCGAAGTCCCTCTGAGTTATATAAGCCTCACGAACCGCCAGTTTGTAGGAAGCCTCATCTCATCATCATTACCATCACCTCCATTCATCTAACGCACGGTTTACTACAGAGCTTCATCCCATCCACCCCTCAAACATCTACACAAGCTCCCTCTTCCTCAGCCATCAGCCCCAATCCCCCAAAGACCACCACAAAATGAAATTCACAACCTCAACCGCCATCATCGCCCTAGCTGCCTTCTCCCCTCTAGCCTCAGCCGCCACCTGCAGCCACTCACAGAACCGCTGGTCCATCACCGCCAGCGGCGTCGATGACGTCCCCGGAAAGTGCGGCGGCCTCTGGGACAACCTCAAGCGCTTTGGCGCCTGTGCCGTCAGCAGTCCCAGCTGCGGTGGCAGCAACGGCAACCTCGCCTGGACTTTCACCAGTGGTGTTGGCTGTAACGCCGGCATGGTTGAGTCTACCTGGTGGCAAGCCACGAAAAACCAGTTTGGTAGCATTTCTTGCCCTTAGAAAGGGCATGTAGAGACGGATGGTTTGAGGGATGCCGGAATGGTTCAAAGTGTTGGAGGAGGACTCGATTGTCGAGTACATTAGCGGCTAGAAGCTATTCATGGTGGAAATCTGCCCCGTACTACAGGGTCGCCATAGTCAAGGAACTAGAGTTGTAATTATTGGTCCGTGATAGAGAATTCGACCTTTCACTCCCATGATAGATCATTCCGATTGACAAGTCATCTCATAAAGCTTCCACACGTTGATCCATGCGTCTGATATGCACGAACTATTGACTCATCTTCAGACTATGTTTTAACTTCATACTACTTTCACAATCTCAGACTGCGTTCTATCTCTGAGGTTTCGGATGAAGCTTTACATGCTACTCAAGTGCCTGAAAGTTAGACCAGGCGTCCACCTTACGGACTGTCTCTCACTGACGATCCCCTAGAGATTATTTTACTCGCTGCCGTTGACGACGACGACGATTATGATGATGACTAAATTAGTAGATCACCCCTCATCCCAAGAGGTTCATCGGCTCCCATGCCGAGCAGGAACTACAAGGCCCCCAATGCGGACCGTCTCCGCCAGCAAAATCCGCTTTCCGGCATCGGGTCAAGGTGCGGCCCTCGTCAAAATTATTCCTGATACCGCACTTGCAACATGTCCATCAGCATCGTCTCTGCAGATTCCATGGGTGGTTGCTATCCCAAAAGACTGGCATCCTGATCTTTTGGAGTTTTGCCATGGTGGCAGTTGGAGATAGTTGATGTTCAAGATATTTAGTTGCTGTTACGTTTTGGAATGTTTAATGAGATTAGAAGAGGTTCTCTGTGTAGGTGAGAAAGATGTTACGTGGTGTGAAAGGGATCCAAACTCCGAAAGTTAGGATCCGAGCCGGTATTTATCTCGATTCGAAGCCACCCCAAAAGTGATGATGTTGTCATAAAGATGATTAAAGACAGTGATTCAGAGACTTTCTCGTCTGGCGGATCACTTTCGGGTGAATGAGCTCTCCCGCCAGGTCACGACGTGGTGTTGATCCAGAGCAAATAAGACATGAGGCGATAGATTCACTAGCTGGAGGCGCAGGCAGCAAGCACAAGTAACCAACAGTCAGCGCTTCGATTCTATGTCACTGCCTTTCTGATTTTCTTCTGATTAATTGAGAAAAGTTGAACATTATCGCAGTAGCTCCATGAAGTGCCCGACCACTGGCTACGAAGCTGCCGTTCGATCACCTCTCATCAGCTGGTGAACTTGAGACTAGTCTTTGATGGAGTATTCACGGCATTGGCCGGTAATCGAGGTGGCGGGCTTTCTCAAATGATACTCAGCCAATGATCAGATAAGCGCCTTTCGTTCCGCTCTGCTGTCAAGATAACTTTCTTCGTATAGCTACCCTAAGTATGTAATGCGAGCACTTGATCTTTTCTCTCTCATGATGCTCTCTACATTATGGATCTCAAATCACCCAACTTCACCCAGCCGTACCTCTCCCCGTCCTCATCATACCCCATACCCATCAATCTCAACCGCCCTCATACAAGCCAACAAGAGAAATCTAGGCATCCAAATCACGCACCACTGGCACGGCCCGACATGGACACCCTGTCGCCCATAACCACGAGAGCAGGGCCGGTCGCCGTCATTTCGACAGACCTGTATCGCAGGCTCGACCGGCATGTGGTTTCCGTCCGTGAAGCATCGGCAGCATGTCCAGAAGCAGTGCTCCAGGAAGACTTCGGGTGGATCGAGAGCTGCGAATTCTTGGAGGGTCAGGGGCTCCATTGTGAGAGACGTTTCGTTGTATGAGTAAGTGAGATGTCGTGCAGTGTGTGTTTTCGGGTTGAATAGCAGATCCAAGTTGGATTTATTGTAGGTGGAAGACCGAGATGATGGTGTCTGTTGGAGATGGAGTCTCAAACCTGCTGTATTGGGTAGGATCGTGGCGGTATTTGCAGTTATCGGGGGGGGGGGGGGGCGCTCAGTCAACCGTTGACACAAGGTCATTTTAGTTCAAGAGTAATTAATCCATGAGCGAGACTTATTTACACGTTTTCTTCAAGACTCAGAGGCTTTGGTCGTTAGGTATGTCCACTCGTCATGTGTCACAGTCAGCCACTGTCGACTCACCACAACCTCGGACCATCATATCTGACCAAGAAAGCTCGCGAAAGCATTCGATATTGTTGAGGGATAGAAGGCCGGTTTTGTGTATCCGGCAATTCAAGATGTTTAGGCGGAATACGCATAGTAGGTCGTCTATAAGCTGATCGAGCTTCACCTTCATCAGCCTCTTTTCATAGATAGGACGTTGAGATTCAATATAGGCGTGAACATTCCGATGCTCATACTCCCGGTCCGTATGCCAACAACGGCGAGGATATGACATTTAGTCATAAGCTGTATCAATAGCATATGTTCACATATGTTCAAAACTTAGGTTGAGTCGTGTTGAAGCTTAGTGAGACTCGTCACTCCTTCTTTGAAAGAGTGAGTTCGAAACTAAGTATTAACTAGCTAACTACGAAATAGTCTACCGTAACTATGGCAAAGCTTATCGCGTCGCTCATTTCCCTAACTACACCCGCCACCTCTACGGAAGATCCCCCAAGTCCATAGGATCCCAAGCCCCAGCGGGCCCAAGAATCGTACAACACCGACTAGGTCCCTTGTGAACCCGCCTCGTCCCGGCATTGGGCCTGCACCCGCCGGGGCTGCAGCAGTGCACCATTGAGAATTTCCTCTTGGGCAACTTGTTGATCCACCCGCACTTGCCGCACTTCCACACGCACCTCCCTCGGAGATCAGCGCTGCCGCCGGGGCCGTTGCCGCGCCGGCTCACCTAGAGTTCGAATTGCGCCGGCGTTCCGGGCCAGACCAACTCTGTCGGCCCAGGCACGTTGCTGTTGTCGTTCATGGTGCCGGCGCCGCCTTGGTTTTGCTGGGGATCCTGGCTTGGACCAGGTTCAGCGCCGTGGTGATGAACTTGGCAATGTTCGTGAGGGTTGCTCTGGCTTTCTGCGATTGCGATGTATTGTATGTAAAGTGTGTTGCTTGGTGTACTTTCTGATGTGTGTCAGTGGTCTTTGTAGAGATCTTGCTTGATGTTCTTGTTAATGCGTGTAAGTGGTTGCTGTGAAGAGGTTGATTGTGATTTGTCTGTCTGCTGATGAGCTCTGGTGATGAGAATCCGCATTACTATTAAATCCCGCGTAAGGTTTGCATTTATACTCATATACATTGCCTTCAAAGAGCTGAAGCAGTGCCGCAATTCCATGGGAGAGTTGCATAGACTCATTACTCGGAACCGCTGTGATGAGTAGAATGTTGATGATGTGACTCTCCTTTGATGACTTGCTCCCACTATGTCCAAACATGGTATGAATGGTTCAGTATAAGATGAGCTACCAATATGGCCATTAGGTAGATTAAGGAGCCTGGAGCATAATAGAGGAAGCCCTGGCTCCCTACCCTGAAATCACTGCATAAAGTCTTCCAATATGGTACAAACATCGTTGCATGTCTGCCTTGAAAAGGGCAGTGAGATTGGGCTTACGACAGTCAAACAAACCAAGAATATACAGATACAATGACTGAACCCGGTGAGATATGGGTCTATACAGACAGTAGTGTATGATGTAGTTCCCTGAGCAAAAAGCTGTTGAACATCATGCAAAAGCAAAAGATTGCGTCGAGGGGGAATCGAACCCCCGGCTCCCCGACGCTGCTTGATGGCAACGGAGAATTTTACCACTAAACCATCGACGCTGATGTGATTGATCGTGACTCTAAGTGAGTTGCTGGCTTCTGGCAAAGTCTGGGATTCTATGGTCATGATTTGAGGGTTGTGGGCTAGGTGTGGGGATAAGTGAGGGCTGAATGAGATCTCCGGGCCTCAGCGGGTCCGACTTCCCGAAGCGGGGTTCTACTTTCGGGCCGATGAGAGCGGAAGATGTTTAGGAAAGGAAGTGGAACGTAAGGAATGTGCAGCTGAGGGTGGTCTCAAGGTCGGGGCCGTTGCAAGAGTAGTTGAGAGAAAGAGAGAGAGATCAGGTATAACTTCAGTTGATGGGACTGGGAATGGTTGCTGCACAAACGCAAGAAGGCCAAGATCGACAATGCTTTACGGTCAACGGCCGAACGGCGGCACCGGAACGGCCATGCAGGGCTGATCAGTTGGCCCAAACGGGGCCATCCGTGTGCCGAGACTGGTTCAGCTTGTGGGGAATCAGTCATCCACGGTGACACAGCCCAAGCAAAATGCACGTTACAAAAGAAGGATGAGCAAACATCAAAGCGTAAACAGACAAAACAGAGAGTTCCGTCAACCGATGTGTGCGGGCATGAGTAAACGATGGGCGGAAACAGCTCTTCGACTCGTGTTGCGTCAACACCATTAGCATTGCTGTGTTTTTTGCCTGCAGCCAAGCAATCCGTAGGATGGTCAAACAGGAAGGTGTAGTGCGGTGCGCATCTCGCGCAAGCTTTTGGCTGCCAGTCTGGGGTTCTTCAGGTCTAGTGCAAATAGAGTGATGGAGAGAGGCAAGGGTGTTTATCGACTAGTATGCGTGGGAAAACGGGGCAGAGTGAGTGAGTCGGGGAAAAGATTGGCATGTCAAAAGACGCATCATACACGGTAGAGAGGATATGCGGCGTGACGAGTAGATCGCGGGTGGTCGTTGACTTAGACTCTTGGCTTGCTGAATCATGGGCGAATGAAGGCAGAGGGATCGGTGACGTCGCGGCGCATGTGAGCGAATTGGAGGGGTGGGAAGAGGTAGAGGAGGGGTTACAGCAGGGCACTCTTCCGAGGGTTGGATGGGCATGCAGTAGTTGAGTAGGTCAAGCCGTGATTGGCGCGGGCTCTTTTGCAAGGATTGAATACGTGCTCGTCTTTTGGGACAATAGACGATGGAGGATGAGTTGGGAGGGCGAGGATGGGATGTTCGGACCAAACGATGCGAAGCGAGGCTGCTGGCGAATGTGAGACGGTGTGAGCTAGAGATGAAGAGACGAAAA